CAGATCGTCCAATGCTGTCGTCATCAGTCTGCTGCCGACGGGACAGCTGCAGCTGCTAGTGGACCATGGATCGGAAAAGGGTGAGGAGATACTTAGAAAATTTCATCTTGTAAGAAGAAATTGTCATGGTCTCAACCACAAAACCGCAAACCATTACGAATATATTTTAGAAACTAGAAGGTAACATTTGCAAATCAAATGCATAATGTTTACATTCGCATATGGACTGCTTTGTTACCCAAACACATTAATATATATGGTGACAAGAGTCTAAATCCCTCTGCTATAAAGTTGCAACATGATGCATCCAACACAGATACGATCAACACCAATGGGAGTTTGACGGATGGAGTGAGACATTACATCCGGTTCCGGGGCACGAGGGACTCAGTGTTAATCAAGGTAACTCAAATATTTCGTTAACAAAATTAGTTCATCAGTTCTTACATGACTATATGTCACGAAAGTTCATCTGTGTTGGCAGTTTCATGTCTAAAGCTAAAACCTTTATTCAAACACAAGAGATTGTTCTCACCTAGGGCTGTCGACCAGTCCCTCTGGTCTTCTTCAGTAGACTGACCAAATGAGGCTTGTCACGTGACAAGTCTTACTGGGTCAGCCTATTGAAGAAGACCAGAATGACTTGTCGAAAGCTCTAGGTGAGAACAATCCTTGCTTTGGAACACACTTTTTAACTTTAGACGAGCTTTTACATGCGATGTTTATGAGGGTGTTCGTTCTGGGACATTGTTATTTCCAAAGGTGGACGATCATGACGAGATGACGTCATCTGTACCGGCTCACGTGATGTTCAATGAATTTGACGTGGCCCAGCTTGGTGGGTTTGTCAGAACTGATCCACACGTACATGTGGACGGCTTTACAAACTTTACTGGATGCATGGCAGGTATGTTTTCCTTTTGTTTATACCCACCCACCTATTTCACGTGAACAAAAGTGCCTGATTGGCAATGCTAATAATGGACAAACTGCAGAAATGCGCTAGTTGTTCGACTCTTTTAAGTTTTATTATCAGAACAAAAGTACTCATCAAACTTATATGAGCATTCATGTCGATCATGCTTAGACAAATGTGCCAATACGAAGTTAAAACTTGCACGAAATTCAATCTTTACGTATTCCTTATAGCCAACGTTTAGGTACACACGCAAGGAGAAACGGAAACTTTACGAATGCTTTAAGGTATGTTGTAACGAAGGTAGTTTTCTGTGGTGTTTGTAAAATCTTTCCAACCTACAGGAGTTAGAATCAACGGTTTGCCCCCGCTGGAGATTCTGTTCAACCCAGAAGAGGACCCGCTGAAGAATGTCGTCACCATCTCAGGCCCGACCAACAACACCACCTGTCCTGGCGTGGCACCGAGAGACGTGGATGAAGTGGGTAACTGTTTAGTAAAAAATCCTAAATTACACAATTTTTAAAGGGGTGGGGGCAAGACTGTAAGTTGATGTCCGTGGGCATATATTTAATGTGCACACCTGCCAAATTTGATTTGGTGTTTGATACTAGCGCTCCAGAGCCAAAAACAAATAATTGTTCGTCTAAAATTGGACAAAAACAACCAAATTAAAAGCCTGATAAAACGAAACAAAACGTCTGGGGGTATTTTCCCACTCTACCTTTTTACCAAATTCCAGGTCATTTGGCCCAAGATAAAGAAGTTGACTCCATTTGTCGTAATGGCAGGAAACAAAAAAACATGGGGAAAAACAATATATTCCATCCATACCACGGTATGGAGTGAAACATAATTAAGTGTTGCGGCACTTGAAACTGATTATAGTAACTTCTATTTAACTATAGTATAGTGAACAACATAGTGATGCTGCGATGTATTCATTTCAATGTTATAATGATATCATATTGGTATTGTGACAACACCATATTTCACTGAACGTTCACATCTCTGCGACCTAGGTCTTCACGTTCCCGCCATGGAACATTGGTCCAGCTGACACGGAAACATACTCCGCGCAGGCGCAACAGGGTGGTAGTTCCGCAGCAGGTAAGCCCAGTCGGTCTGTTTGAGCTGTATATTTTCATTATTACCTCCATGAAAAATGGAGGTATTGTTTTTGATACGTGTGTGTGTGTGTCTGTCCGTGTGTGTGTGTGTTTCCGCATGACCCTTAGGTCAGGTTGTAATGGATATGGTTGGGTTCAGTCTGTCCAAGAGGGAGAAAATCATTAATCTACATCTGGTAGTGCTCACTGTTTTCACAGGTGTTCTTCATTACATGACCTCCTTGACAACTGACAGTGTTGTTTCCTTTGCACTATAAAGAGAGACTTTTACACACCTCGGTGAATGAGAAGAGGGCACAGTCACCATCATCCAAGATCTGATTATTTCCAGGAGGCCTGAGGTTTCCTAATTCTTGTTTCAGCTGCTGCTTTTAAATGTACTTTTTAGTCTGTTGAATTTGTAATGGCTGCCCGTGTACTTGCAGCCGTGGCGGTGAGTCTGTGCGCCGTGGTTGTGGCGGTGACGATCGGGGTGGTGTGCATCGGGCGGAGATACCGACGGAACAGGCGGGGAGGGAAATTCCTGCCTAAAAAGGGAACAGCCTCGGAGATGGAGAAGTTGAGAAGGCCAGAAGGTGGGTCAAGTTTAAAGAAAAAAAATGTACCCATTTACCAACCCGCTGACTTTACCAACTGTCGCCATATGCATAGTAACTCGTGTTGTAGCAGGCACCCTCTGGTTAATGTGACCCTCTGGTCACATTATGTAGCACGTTGCAAGACCGGGTTGGATGGGCTGCTCACTCTATATATTCAAATGTGTTTGAGTAAGAATAAACAGAGCAGTAGTTTGTAAACCATCCCCATGTGAGGGTAAATATGATGCATTTGCTTTTGAAATGTTACTTTTTTAGTTTGAATAGTTAGACACAAACACTGAGCCTCTGTTTACTGAATGACAGGTTCTAACTTTTGCCTCTGTTTACTGTATGACAGGTTCTAGCGAGGAGGATGAGAGGCCAAAGAACGCGTCAACCATCAAAACCAACGGTGAAAACAGCATACCGTTAACATCCGTGGAGCTTGACGACGAAAAACTCCAACTGAAGCCCACAACGTTCAAGCGTCTCCCCGCACTTCGGGACGAACCCGGCGACGACTCCAGCTCCGACTCGTCGCCCGAGAATTGCCGGAAGCAGCCGACTTTGTACGAACTTGACGACATAGACGAGGTGCCGGAGTTGGAGTGGGATCCGCAGGGAGAGAACGCGCGGAAACAGGAGGACGATTACTACGAGGACGACATCTTGGCCCTCCCCGTGGTGAAGGCCATCCGTGCAGGGGAGACGTACGGCAGACCACTTGAGGGCGGCGGTGGCCAGTATGTACACCCTCAGGTTCTGATCCATACTTACGTTCACGCTCCGCCCGCTGGGGGGCGCTTGCAGAGTGGTGTTGTTGCTAGTGTGTCACGCTCGACGAGTCAAAGTTGAAGAGCTCTAGCGTTCTAAATAGTTGGTACGATGATCTTGATGTTAGGGTTCTTGACTCAGACTCTGAAGGTTTGGGGTTCGATTCCCTGGCAGGCCCCATTGTTGCGTACTTGGGAAGGGCACTTTTTCCTCATTTGACTCAGGTGAAAATGCTTAGAGTGCCACGTAAAAGATCCCACCAGATTTATCGAAAAGAGCAGGGGTCCTTCCCGATGTGAGTGGTTCAAACCTTACAGTCTGTTGTCAGGTTTGACATCTTGAAGAGGTGATAGTCACCTAGATATGTCAATCCTTCCATAAAAGTAGTAAATCTTCATAAAAGCAATGGATGAAAAACATGGGAGATTGTCTTTAATACTGATCAGTATTAAAGTATGTAATATCCATAGGATTTTTACTGGCCTTGGTGCTGAAATGTCTCCCTGTGCTTTTGTATGCTTAGGTTTTTTGCTCAAATTTTGTACTGATCCCTCTTAGCTGTTGCTTTTTTACTTTCTTTCTTATCCACGATGATAGCCATGCGATACGTAGTTGCTGTTTGCTCTTTTTTATGGCCTTGGTCCTTAATCGAAGGACCTTGGTCCTTGAACGAAGCTGTTATATACCAATAGCACATTTCCCTTCTGTAACTGTTTGCACTATTCCACCCACAGAGTCACAGCACACCTATAAAGGGAAGAGGGCGGCAGGAGGACCCAGCGGTAACCGGGGATCAGGAGAGCAGGAGGCCCGACGAAACTCCCGTGAAGCGTTACGGTCACTCATTTGTGTAGAAGTTTCTACATTGTAGTAAGGACATCCGATGCAATTTTATGGCGGCAAAACTGGATTTCCAAAGTCTATTTTTTTGGACATATAATAAGTTGAATCAGTCCTATTCCATAGCAGAATGATATCTGTGAGTCATAAATGCGATGTCACAGATGGAAAACGGTTGCTTGTTTAGTATAGTAGGCTGGGTCTAGCTATTTATGGGTGTTGCCCACAAAGAAAATCCTAAAGTGATGCCACACGTTGCTTGCTTTTGAGCTATGATGAGGAAGTTATGACGAAAATGTGCTCATGAAATGATGTCGAAATGACAAGTACAATATCCTCATCCCCCATATTTTTTTTTGTTTAGCCGCTCTTAAATTGCATTTGATGACTTTAAACTCCGTGGTTTACAAAAATAGTGAAGACTATTTTTTACCAGTTTACCAGAATCATGTTAATACACGCTACACATAGGTACGCCATACGAAATGAATCAAGCAATAGGATAAAATAGGAGTCAGACGGTTTATGTTAAAACTTTAGATCCAACACCAAAAAAACCCTCGCAAAAAAGATTTCGACCAGTCACTCTGGTCTTCCTCAGTAGACTGACCCAGTGAGGCTTCTCACGTGGCTTCTTTGAATTGTGACGTTAACACTGGGTCAAAGGTATCTGGTAGACGATGTCGGCCCCCGTCGCGGTTCATGATAGTATCAGACGTTTTAGATTGCATCCATCTTTTATCAGGGACTATATCATGTCTTACCTGTATGTCTACCCTTCATCGTCCAACACATAGATAGTTTATGCACAAGAATGGCTGTTGTACTTATGCAAAACCCATTATACACTTCAAACTTATCTCGAAATAATGTTGCATTGACGTCATGATAATGAAAGCTTTATTTGTTTTATATAGGACATATGCTTCAGAAAAAGTGAAAAAAAATACAGTGATGTAAAAATATATGATACTGATTTTGATGTGTGACATCGTTTTATTCTATATCAAACACAAATGCTTTGTATGATATCTAATTTGACCACAGTAAAACGACGAAGAAATAAAAGCCTTTTTTATTTACATTTCTGTATTATGTAGTTGCAAGCAAATTGTGCTGATCAATACAAATAAGGGCATTGTTACCGCATGTACTTGTGTTACAAATTATGTTGTGGCTGTGATTTTTTCCCGATAATCATGTGTGTTGTATAAAACAGTTGCCTTCTTTGTAACCGTTAGGCAGTGCCCAAACATTGTTTGCTGTTTTACATAAGTTTTTTTTCGGTGCTTTGTAGGAATTTTAGTTCTAATTCAGTATTTACTTTGCATCCAATACAATAAATGTAAAATGGACTGCGTTGCAAGAGAAATACACAAAAGTTTTCGCGTGGTTTACTGACTTCAATGCTTTTAGATGTTCTTGGAAACCTCGTGGGTGTGCCTGGGGTTCCGCTACATTAGACATAAGTGCCTATCCTACACTGGGGGTTTCTGTTTTCAAACTATAATGTACGACACAGTTGACATTGTATAAAAGCTTTTTCTATCCCTCAAGAGAGCAATAGCCTATATTAGATTGAAGAGAGACCGTACGGGTGCTATGTAACAATAGCATTTTAAAACAACTTTAGTGGGGAAGACTACTGATAGCAATACGAAAACAAAGTATGAAGTAGTATCATATTCTAGCTCACATTAACGGGGGGCTGAGAGTTATTTTCTCTTTTTAAGAGGACTTTAAGGGCTCGAAATACTGGGTGCATATGCACCTTCCTTGGTGCAGTTAAAACTGGAGCTGTGCATGTATTTCTGATGTCTACCCGCATCTATCCTGCACTGGGCAATGTACTGGGTTTGTGGATGCATGTAATTGATGCCTTGACTGTCACCAGATATACAGAAAAAAGTATTTCAAGCCCTGACTCTAAATTACAAAGTTTAACTTGGTGTGCCACTAGCCAGGCATTGTCCTCCATCTTTACGCATAGTTATTTTGAAGGTAGATGAGTTAGTCCTCCTTAGGTTGTTTCGGTACGAAGGGGATCTCCATTAACAAAGCCGCCATGAAGTCCTCTCCTCCCCGCTGAATTTGCTCCTGGTTGTCCAGAGGAAGAACGACGTAAACCAGCCACAGTCCGAGCCCAGCGTTCACGGCAACAGCCATAGCAGTAACTACAACCAAGGCGGCAAACACCGCATCATCATGGCCCTTCTCCCCGGTAGAAACAACCCCGTACACCGCCCCGCTTGTCGCCAGGCACGATAGCAGAAACATTGCCGGCAGAGAGAGCCGAATGGCTCTGA